ACCCACAATCATAGGTTTCCGGCGTGCCCAAGGGACGCAACTCTGCACAGCGAATCGCGGCGCCTTAGACTTGTATTGAATGTTTATTGATGACGTAATAAATGCTTTAACATCATGCAGCCAAGATCCAAAAATATTGACGTCATAGTTAACGTTATGGCGCTCATCGCATTCGATTTTGCTGTAGGAAAACAGCCACCTTGTATAATGCCAATTTATTGACATGGAGTTTGACATGGCCATGAATTGTCTGATTGCCGTCTGCACAACTCATATATCGGCTTAATGTTGTTAAATCACTTTCGATAAATGACATTTCTTGTAACCAAAAGTGTTGCTGTAGACATTTTCTTGACATTGCTCTTAGTATTTACTGCCACGCACGGATTATATTTTTAATCGAAAGCGATTGTACAGGACCAAAATATTTAGTCACGGACAGAAAACCTGAACACGGGGTATTTGGTAATTATCGAACAATACAAATATAACTATAGCGACTAATTACAAGTCTATTACTTATAATATTAAGTATATGTATAATTCGGAAAGTTCCTTTCAAGTAAATGCTCATGACGCTATGTTATTATTACCTTGGTCAATGGGTCATTCTATACTCCCTGGGGAGTATACAATTTAAGCTGACTGCGAGGCATCATTCCGTGATGATATCTCACTGCAAACTCCTCGGTCGGCTAGGAGTAGAGCTATAAATGCATAATTATGTGATGGTATGTTTGATCGTGATCGAGGGTTTCAACGAAGTGGTAAACGTCGGAGACCTGCATCACTTCGGGCTTTCCTCCCACATTAAGATGACACGCTGCGATCTAACTGGAATACTGTTAAAAAGCGGCGTTAAACCCAACTCACTCACTCACTCCCTCATTATGTTTGATGTGTGAACCTTATGACCAGGAGAAGTGGTGATCTCTGGATCATAGGGCGAGAGAAATGTCAAAGGTTCTAGATGTACCGGAATACAGTAGGCGCTGCCGTGGTGATTCATCTCACTACGGGCAGCCGCAATGGATGCTTGATAAAACCAATATATTGAATCATCTTAGGAAAGAGTGAGGACGAGATGAAATTAGTCAGTAGTGCTAAAGAATGTCCGCTGTCTGTATTGAATGTTTATTCAACGTGAGATAATTTCGAAAACAAAATAATTTTCTCTAACTGTCATATTGTGAGAAAAAGGGATACACTATATATTTAGTTTATATAAATATTTAGTCACGGACAGAAAACCTTAACACGGGGTATTTGGTAATTATCGAACAATACAAATACAAATATACCTACAGCGACTCATTACATGTCCATTAATGATGGGGCACGGGTGGCCCAGTCGTCTAAGGCGCCGCGATTCGCTGTGCACAGTTGCGTCCCTTAGGCACGCCAGAAACCTATGAGTGTGGGTTCGAATCCCGGTTCGCCCCGATTATGTTTCTAGGTTTGTCAGCACCATACCCGTGCTCGTGGGTTTCACCGAAGTGGTGAACGTCTGAGACCTGCATCACTTCGGGCTTTCCTCCCACATTAAGCTGACACGCCGTGCTATAACTGGAATACTGTTAAAAGCGGCGTTAAACCAAACTCACTCACTCACTCACTCCATAAATGATATTAAGTCCATTTATAATTCGTCAAATTCCACTCAAGTGAATGCTCATGTCGCTATATTATTATTACCCCGGTCAATGGATCAGCGCGCACCCGATTGTCAATCTCAGCTTCCTGGGGAGTATACATCCTAAGCTGCCTATGAGGCGCTAGAACGTTAACAGTCTACTATTTTACAGGGTATCCATTCCCTGCTTGGTCATCATGAGCAGAGGCATATTTCGACCAAAGTCACATGCAAGCCAGACATCAAATCTAAAATGAGTTTCAGTGGGGGGCACCGCCAAAGCCATGGAAACCCTAGTTAAACAGCCAAACACAGACATTATAAATGACATTATTACTTGCCCGTGAAGAGATGACCCGTTTAATAAACATACAGCTTTATTACACATTGTGTAATACCAAAACGCGTGCTTATGTACTCTCGGAACACGTTTCACGAACAAATATTGAAAGCTCTCAACATCCCTTGGCTTATTCAACGGCATTGTGTGTGGAGATGATAGATCACTGGGAGGAGCTTATGCACACTCGATGACCCCAGCGACCTTGTTGCTAGGCTGACGTCACATGGCATTGTTTCGCCGATGGATCTTGCAACAAAATTCAACAAATTACGTCATCGGGTATTGTGACGTGATTGTAAACTTTGAGCTGCAAGGCCCCGTTCCACAAGACGATCGTACTCTAGCGCAACGACAGTCGTACCCTTAGAAGTTAAATTATGTGAGTTGTGACAGCCTTAGCACTGCGATAATTTTGTGGGACAAACGCCTGAATTCTAAAGGTGGACCATTGTATGATATTAAATTCATACGTTTCAACTTTTGACGTGTTTGAAGTATTACTCTGTTAAACTCAATTGGATTATGCCATGGATCGTGTAGGTGTCAGCCTATTTACACTCAACAGTATAATTATAAAAACATTATAAATGACAAGTAATAAATAAAATACTAAACTCGCTCTCGTGTAAAACCAATTTTATGAAACTCGTGAATAGTTGTGGTATCTGACTCGCTTTCGCTCGTCAGATACCAGAACTATTCACTCGTTTCATAAAATTGGTATTACACGGGAGCTCGTTTAGTATTCTATATTTATATGCACAATTCCTGAAATACTGCATGGAACAATAGATTCTTATTTCAGTATAATGAATAATGCATGTGACACGCTGGTCCTAGACGCCGTTGGTCTCTGAGTTGCCTTGATTTGTCAGGAACATTTCCGTGCTCGTTGGTTTCAACAAGATGCGACACTTTCTATCCATTGTACGATGTCTTCGCAGAACTGACATACGTTCCATGTCAGCGTCCAATCGATCTGTCATCACCATGTTTTGTGATCGACAAACATCCTGTAACTTGAAATAGTACGTGTTTTAAAGTAGTCTTTCAGTGTGTCTGCCTCGCTTTAAGTAGCACGTGTGTAAAAAGAAGCTATCTTAAGAAAGGATGAAATGAAACTTGAAGCAGTACGGTTATAAATGTAGCCTTTTTGCAGTGCTACTATCTAGCCCCATGAAGCACTTGAGTAAAACCTAGATTTCTAAAGGCTGATATGTCATTTTAAGCAGTGCTTGTATATAAGGTCAAAACGGTTTTACTTATGTCTCGAATACTTTCTTCTCTATGATTATGCTTCAAAGGTGCCGATCCATAAACAGATAGACTTATCAACATAAAGATAGTGTCCCTTCATCTTTTACTTTACTTGTACGTATCAAGAGTGAGTGAGTGAGTTGGATTTAACGCCGTTTTTAACAGTATTCCAGTTATATCATGGCGTGTCAGCTTAATGTGGAAGGAAAGCCCGAAGTGATGCAGGTCTCAGACGTTTATCTATTCGGTGAAACCCACGAGCACGGGTATGGTGCTGACAAACCTAGAAACATTATCGGGGCGAACAAGGATTCGAACCCACAATCATAGGTTTCTGGCGTGCCCAAGGGACGCAACTCTGCACAGCGAATCGCGGCGCCTTAGACGACTGGGCCATCTAGAGAACAGAACAACATTGAATGTTGTTTGTAACGTCACACTCAGCAATATTCAACATTTGACGGCGTAATGTAAACATCGAATATATACCAGACATTCCAGTGATTGAAATCCTGAACATCGATCTACGCAATTTGGATACGATGACATGCGTCAGCCAAGTGAGCGAACCTGACCACCCGATCCCGTTAGTCGGCTCTAACGACAAGCATGGTTGCTGGCCATTTCTGACCCGGATCGTCGGGTAGGTATTAAATGGTTCAATTATAATTCTGCCAGAATGTTAGGGAAGTAAACTGCATTTGCAAACAATGACAGTCAGATGGACAGTAAAGATGAGATCCATTGGACCTGAATGCTGCGTGGCACCATATAATACTATAGCAGCCAGATACTTTGAGTAACAAGAATACAAAATTGCAATGAAACGTAAGAAATGTCGTATTTCACATTTTGATACTCATGGTCATGGGGCTTTCTGTACTGTGTGTTTGTTGTTTAACGCCGCACTCAGTAATATTGTAGCTATATGACGATGGTCTCTATATGAGCGAGTTTGGACCAGGCAATCCAGTGACTGACATCATTGACATCGATGTACGTAATCGGAAAACGATGACATGTATCAACCAAGTCATCGACTACCCGATTCCGTTAGTCGTGTCTTACGTCCCATTGCGACAAGCATTGGGTTGCTGAAGACAAATTCTAACCCTAACATAAGTGAAAAATAGAGATGAATACTTGTACCATCCAGACACTGAACCTCTTGCACTGAAGAATGCGTGCCGAACACAGATGTATACTTGTACGAGAAACGCAGCCTTCAGCAATATTCCATCTACATCTCGGCGGGCTACACCAGAAATGGGCCTCACTCATTGTCCCCATGTGGGGAATCGAACCCGGGCCTTCAGTTCGACGAGCGAACGCTTTAACCGCTAGGCCTGCCCACCGCCCTGGAGATGTACTGGTGTGCAGATGGATACTTGTACTGGTTTGGTCATTCCGTGATGATTTCTCACTGCAAATACCTCGGACGGCAATGAGTAATGTTTTTATGCATATGTGATGCTATGTTTGAGGTTTGAACCTTATGGCGAGTGTAAATAATCGTCCCTGGATCATAGGTCAAGAGATCTGTCAAAAGTTCTAGATGTACCGGAATACTGTAGGCACTACTGCGGTGATTCATCTGACCGAGGGCAGCCGCAATCGAGCTTGTCAAACGTGACAAATAATCTGTATGCTATGTAATTCAATTTTCCATGCATTATTAATCGAATACTCACATCTGATTGCGGACCGATGGCAATCAGACTAGACAGTCCTGCCCTTCCGTCCAAGTCACCAAACAGATGTGACTAACCGACTCCTATGACATTTAGCCAATACTGAGCGTGTTGTCGGAACTAGGAAATGTTTTCACGCGCTGAAAATCCAATCCGCTTTCTACGCGAGGCTTTAGGCTAGAAGCGTGCAACCGATGAGGGTCCAAACAGTTCCAAGGTTGATTGGCAAACATCACGCCATCTACCTCGTTGGACAAGTCATTATAAGGCAATCAGCACGACCAAACTGATTTACTTATTCCACTGAAGGTTGCTGCTGTAACCGTTCCAGGGACAGGCGTTCTGATGTGTAAACTGCAGCCATCTTGGATCGATAAATTGACTTGTGGGTGGAGTGGGAAAAGGGGACAGAAGGCCGGTCAAGGGTACACGAAGCTAGGGGGAGAGCCCTGCACAGGCCAGAGTGACCCCTAGGGATGCACTTCAAGGACCTACAGTCGTTGTGAAAACTGGATCATTAGCGCAGATTAGATAGGAATTCCTTAAGCAGCCACAGCTCTGCTCGGTGAGGTTTCTTCTGTCACACGCAGAAAGAAATCGCGGAAGAGAAATCCACTGAGGTGAGTAACAATCAAATAATGAACTGCTTTGTTCGAATGTCCAAACCACGCAGCATCTCATCTATTTGTTCAGCTCCCACTGCGCAAATACCATGCAAGAGGCTATAAAGATTCCAACCACGAAGAGACGCCGGGGATTGTGCTTGTTTCCGAGGGACATCCCCAAGCATATCTACGTGATTTTTGTATTAAAGAAGCGTTACGCTTGTGTGGCAGTCATTGATATGGGGTATAGTGATTTGATGGGGAGTCGAGGTGTGTAATCGTGGACCTCTATAGCTAGGGGTGACATTTTATGACGGATAGCTGCCCGATGAGAAACTCATCAATGTTGTGCCCCTTGTTCTTCGTTCGATTGCGCGGCCAGACACATTCGTCACATTTGTAATTCTGTCACCATCTTTGATGAAAAACCATATCGCTGTATTAGACAAGGGTCTCTTGTCGGGAGCGTGTTAAGTACAGGAGGGTAGTCTGGTGTTTTCTTGAGAATGACGACAACCGGATGTTGTGTCATATCCGACATGTTGTTAATAGTATAAAACAAATCGGATTATAGTGATAATACGTACGAAGCTGTCATTAGTGTTTCAGATATAGCCTTTACGAACCACACACATATTGAAAAAGCAATTTTTCATAAGCACCACTGAGATCTGCATGTCTTTGGTATACACTAGCCAATTGTTTTTATTCACTCGAACACAAAACTATTTCTTGCATAAAATGATGCTGAGAATAATACCCTGTTTCAAGTTGTCAGAAATCTTTTATAAGAGCCCAATGTATTCGATAACCTTTGATATCACGATTTCCTTTATTAACAATTAAAGATATAATTTTTTACAATATAGTTATATTTTTGACCAGCATAACCTCTTTACGTATTCAATAAGATTTGATATCATGATTTCCTTTATCAACACTTAAAGACCTTATTTCTGACCATACAATTATATTTATGACCAGTATAACCTCTGCATTTGGCAATTGGGAATTGGTTGTTTGGTGTAGCATTATTACTGCATTTTAAGTCCATTCAAAGCCTAGTTCCCTTATTTAAATAATTCCTGGCGTACATATACCTCCCTTGGATATAATTCCCCTTATTTTCGGTCATATCGACTTTCGCTGCCACGTTAAAGCTTCAATCGATCTTCTATTTTGCTTGCAAACGGTCGCCTAATATATCACTTTAGCAAAACGAAGACTGATGGCAAAGAATAAAAGATTATTGATGACAAATGCATTTCCAGAAATTTGGAAAGGTCTGACCTCAGTGATCTCACAAAGGTTCAATAGATCTCTTAACGGACATTTTTAACTACCGCTGGGTCAATGTACAAATCAAACCCGAAAATTAATTAATTGTGTTCAGGTTTGAGTTCTGTAGAACGCACTAGGGCCTTGCACTCAGATTGTGTAGGAATCCCATTAATTCGAACCGAAAACAAAATCGATCAGAAGAGGTTATCCTTTTGTCTGCCTCAGGACCATTTGTGTTGCTCTGATGTTCATCGTCTGTGAAAGGAGCATGGTAATTACTTGGTTTGGTGTTATTATAACAAATTGTCCTTCACGTTGTTTGTTGAAGATAGTAAGTGTGTGTTGGAGTCTTTCCAATGATGCTTTGTCTGTTTTGATTACGTTAGATCGATACTTAATGACAGACGGTAGAGGAAGCACTTGTGGCTATGAGGTAACCAGAAGAAGTGAGTGTAAACGTACATATTGTCAAACACTGCAATAAATCCCCTCGTCTATAACCACACGGAAATCGTGATTGTATATATTTTGTGGCGTTAATGATACCAGTTAGACCATCCAAGAGGGACTTGTGGGGAGTTGTCATTACAAAGCCCGTTAGTACTTAACTTGATATAGTGAAGAAGGTTCGTGGAAGTGCAAGAAAGTTGGAAATAGTTTGGTGGAATCGATTGTTGTGGGTGAGTGGTGTTTCTAAAGGTGGTAAAATACCAGCCATAAACGACTGTTGATTCTGCTGTGGAGGGATCGAAGATGTCCATAGAGTTCATTGGTGGCGCAGGCGGGATGGAGTATGCTGACTGGGAAAGGAATTAAGACATAGATTTCCCATGCAGATCGTCAAAGATCCTTCTGTGAAGTCCAACCTTTATGAGAGCCTTGTCTAGTCTCGTAAATTGCCATTTATTCGTCAGCTCAGTTCATATGGATCTGTATTGTCAGATTTTAGTGCTTAGCCGTTCTAATGCGTTCTTTTTTTAAATACTCTTGGTTTAGACTTAATGCTATTTAAGAAATCCATACCTGCAACTGTAACTAACCTTTCCAATTCGTTCCATTCCATACTTATGATTGAGATTAGATATAATGGTCAGTCTCGTTCATCTTCCGAAACAGATTCCCTTGGACGTAAAAGGCCACAAAGGGATGAAACTGATGATGGATCGCAGAAATTAGTCATAGCACCAGGTGTTTGCGAAAAGAGTAAGCATGTCCTACTCCACCGGTAGCACCCGCCACTCATACGTTTGTTTGTTTGTTTTTTAACGCCGCACTCAGCAATATTCCAGCTATATGACGGCAGTCTGTAAATAATCGAGTCTGGACCAGACAATCCAGTGATTGACATCATGACCATCGATCCACGCAATTGGGATACGATTGTATGCTTCAACCAGGTCAGCGATCCTGACCACCCGATCACGTTAGTCGCCTCTTATGACAAGCATAGTCGCGTTTTACGGCAAGCATTGGTTGCTGAAGACCTATTCTACTACGGATCTTCACTGGTGTGGCATTAAACAACCAACCAACCAACCAACATGAAACACGAGAAAACGTCATTCTGGATTAGTTCCGGACTAATGAGCCTGGTAGAACAGGACGTAATAACCCTTTCTGCGAACACTTGGTGTTATTACTGATTTTCAGTGATCCATTCTTCTAATTTTCACCCTATTTCGCCTTTTAGGCGCAGATGATCGAGACTTATTACTCTCTGGCATTGACCTTTTTATATTTATTTTTACTTGATTGAAAAAAGTTCAGTATTTTACGAACACCGGGACCTGTGCTGAATAAACGGTGTCATAATATTTAATATATGTCATTAATACAACACATGCGTTTAATTACTGTGATATCAACTGTGTATGTGTATGCGGAACTCAACTACAGAAGTAGAGATACGGTACATAGTCGAACTTACCTGTAGGAGGTTAAATATCGATATCCTAACTTATAATATATGGGTACAGACAGACATACTTACAGAGAGACTCATACAGACAGATAGGCGGACAGACATATTAGATGGATGAAAAGAAAGATGATAGAAATATTTCGAAATAATGCAATCCATTGTTCATTGAGTGAGTGAGTGAGTTGGGTTCAACGCCGCTTTTAACAGTATTCCAGTTATATCATGGCGTGTCAGCTTAATGTGGGAGGAAAGCCCAAAGTGATGCAGGTCTCAGACATTTACCGCTTCGGTGAAACCCACGAGCACAGGTATGGTGCTGACAAACCTAGAAACATAATCGGGGCGAACCGGGATTCGAACCGACAATCATAGGTTTCTGGCGTGCCCAAGTGACGCAACCCTGCACAGCGAATCACGGCACCTTAGACGACTGGGACACCCCATTGTTCATTGACAGACAGACAGATGAAAAGATGTGAGAACAAGAGCTGTTGTTCATGTAATCGATTTGTAGGCTGTCATACGTACGTATACCAGGTGCACAAATATCCGTATTAGAAATTATAATTACAAGTTAATTGGATACAGAATATAGTTAGCATATTCAATACTTCTCTTGATACGCAATATTGTATATCCGATATTGAAATGCACACATATCATATACTTTACAGCCAAATCCAGCTTGACAGAATGGCAAAATTGTTTTCCGACCCTTAAAAGCATTCACTAAACAGAAGCAATTTGGTGTTTTCTCTTACTAATTCATTCCATCATATACTTCAAATGGGAAATATGGATTTTACTTCCCACGTTGAAATACTACTGCAAATAATATCGTGAAAGCAGATGTTACAAATTATGATTAAATTTCCATTGTTTCAGAAAAGGTTATTACAGTACTGGGCATAATGGAATATTTCAAAATACACACTTGTACTCGAACAAACAGTCAGCCTTTTCAAAAGGTGATGTAACGGTATTGAGGAAAGGTTTCAAAGCCGATCAATAATGTATCGTTACTGTAGTTGGTTCTGCGGCTTTTTATTGTCCTTGTCTTGTTCATGGTTTTCAATGCTAATTAGTGACAGATGCGGGTTATTGAACTTCTCTCAATGGACTCGACCCCTGTCTGTGGCTCTGTTGAGATTACAGAGACCAGATAGATAATACGAGTTCTTCAGATAGGGATTAAAGGGTCTATGGCATATCGCAGCTGTGTTACACAGTCTGACAATTATCCATGTTCCGGCATATGCTTCCTTGCAAATAAGCCCTGAATATGCTGAGGGTTATTTAGTGATCGTGATCAGTGATGTTCTGCATAAAAACTAGATAATACACGACGGCTGACTGTCACTATACCCACTGTGCCCTTACCATGGGTAATGTAATAAGATGCCAACTGACAGGAGAGAGGTATTTGAAAACGGAAATTACTACGTAGCACATGGCTTTCATTTGATCTGCAATCGACACCAATCGATCAATACCAATTGTGATCGTATCATCGCACGTCTTAGCCGTGCGGTGAAATATACACTCTTTCATTGGAGGTGGTTTCTCTGGTTGAAGAAGAAGAAGAAGAAGAAGAAGAAGAAGATGTAATCAACAAATGCCATGATGGCAAAGGTTTGGGCTGAAAACGAAACGCGAACATCTTGGTAATGTCGGTTTCAATCATGCTCACAATGAGCGTGACCACTGTGAAAATCAGAATTGGTAATAGCACAAAAGCGGATATTCCTTGATGTCGATGTATGCCTGTATGTATCAGATTACTTCAATATATCATTAGATGCATATAAACAGG